AGCAGCAGCAGCAAAACTGGCCAAAAACCATCCTGCGCCGCGTTCTGAGCCGAGAGAGCATCTGAACGAGGAGAGCAATAATGACTGGCGTAGCACTAGAGGCGGCAGCAGCAGCAGCAGCAGCAGCAGCGGCAGCAGCAGCAGCAGCAGCAGCGCCGACAGCAGCAGAAGCACAAGGCGGCCTATATCTTTCTCTGTTGCGCAAAGCGCTTCTGATAAAAGCCTCCCACAGTGCAGGCAGGCCACAACGCCAGCAGCTGCAGGAGCACCAGCAGCGGCAGCTGCTGCTGCTGCTCCGGAGCTGCAGCAAAGTGTCAGTGATAGCAGCTCTTCTGCTGAGCCTTCGACTTTGCCTTCCGCTGCATCCGGCAAATCTGGCGTTGAAGTTCAGCGCTTCGAGCTAGCTCACCAGGAGCCAGAAGCAGCAGCAGCAGCAGGTACAACAGCAGCAGCAGCAGCTGAAATTGATGCTACTGAAGAGGCGGAGGCAGAGGCCGCAGCAGACGAGTCAGTGACTCTCGCCAACTTCATGCGAGGGGGCCGCAGCGCAGCAGCAACAGCAGCAGCAGCAGCAGCAAGACGACGGCGCCACCCCGAACTAGCAGCAACGGGGTGGGAGCCTGCACAGCCCCCCACGCAAGCGGGCGCCTCCAGAAGCAGCAGCAGCAGCAGCAGCAAAAACAGCAGCAGCAGTGCGATCGCTGCGCTAGCTAGCGGCGCCCCTGTGCTCGCCCCCGGGTGCGTGGTGGCAGCAGCACGGCAAGCAGCAGCAGCAGCTTCGGAAGCAGCAGCAGCAGTGGCGTCGCTGCACGCGGGGCAGCTGTCTTTGCTGCCAGCTGCGAGTGCAGCAGCAGCAGGAGCAAGAGCCTTGCTGCCGTCTGCTGCTGCTGCGCGGGCCCACCGCAGCAAAAGGAAAAGACTGAGAGAACGCAAGACCATTTTGTCCGAAGCTGACTGGGAAGCAGCACTTAGTGCTGTCATAGAGAAAACTTACTATCCAGATTTGCCGCTGCTGCGGCTGCTGCAGCAGCTGCTGGCAGCAGAAGGCGAAGGAGACGAAGCAAAAGTGGCCAGAATTGCGCAGCAGATCTCCACCCTTGCTGCTGCCACTCCTGTGCACTTGCAGTCGGCGAAGAGGCAACAGCGCGCGCTGCAGCTGCAGCTGCAGTACGAGCAGCAGCAGCAGCAGCGGAAGCAAGAGCAGCAACGGGAGCAGCAGCTGCTGCAGCAGTCGGAAGAAGATAGGCGGGAAGCGCGCAGGAGGCGCAGCACGTCAGAGTCGCCTCAGCAGCAGCAGGGAGAGCAGCAGGAAGAACAGCAGCAGCGAAAGCAGCAGCAAGGACAGCAGCAGCAGCAGCAAACTGATGACGATGAAGATGATGATGAGCCTGTGCTGCTGAAGCATGTGAGCAGTGACCAAGCGCGGCTGCAGCAGGAAGTTATAGACGTGGACACCAGCAGCAGCAGCAACAGCAGCAGCAGTGACTCTGAAGAGGATGAAGATGGCGTTGCTGGAGGTCTTCTCGACGCGGATGAACTGAAGAAGCAGCAGAAAGAGCAGCAGTTGCTGCGGCAGCAGCAGGAGGACGCAAAGCAGGCTTTGCTGCAGCAGCGGGAAGAGCTGCAGCTGCAGCTGCAGCTGCAGCAGCAGCAGAAACGGAAAGCAAGAATAGGTGTCGATGAGTTCCTTGAAATGTTCACATCCGAAGACCTACACAGTGCGCAGCAGCTGCTGCAGCAGCGAGAGGAGCGCCTGCAGGATAAGCGAAATGCTCTCTCGGAGCAGCAGCAGCAGCACAACAGCAGGCAGCTGCTGCTGCAGCAGCACACAGTTGCAGGCAGAACTGTGCCAGAGGGCCCTGCGGTTGGCTTCCATCCGGGCCTCACGCGTCTTTTTTTTAAGGGGGTCGATGGGGACGAAGACCCTCGGAATCTAATGCCAAGGTATGCAGCAGCAGCAGCAGCAGCTCTAGTAGCAGCTGCTGCAGTAGCAGCAGCACGCTAAGCGAGGTTGCAAGCTGAATAGTACGCAAGAAACGAAATGCGAAGGCGTGGCCACCACAGGCTGCTGATGCACTTCTGCTGCTGCTGCTGCACTGCGGCTGCTGTTGCTTTTGTGTGTTGCAGAGGGGAGCTACGTGCGGAATGCACGCGTTTCACGACGCTGCAGCGGGAGCTGCAGCAGCAGCAGCTGCGGCAGCAGCTGCAGCTTCGCCGGCAGCAGCATCTGAACGTCGAGCAGCAGCACATGCACCAAGTCGTGCAGCAAGGCGCCTTCAGGCCTCCACCGCAGCAGCAAAAAGAAAGAGAATTTCGTCTGTCAGGGCAGCAGCCAAAGGGCTATTCTTTCGTCAGCTCTCCGGTCACTTTGCCTGCCAAGAGAGCCCACGAGCCTTCTTCAAGCGAGCTCACATGGGGTACCACCTGCTGCTGCTGCTGTTGTTGCTGCTGCTTTTGTTGCTGCTGCTGGGTCTGGGGTCTTTCTGCAGCTGGCGCTGTCGGAGCTGTAGCTGCAGGGGTGGGCACTGCTGCTGCCATGTCTGCTGGAGCGTGCTGCTGTCGTGAGCGTCCGAGTCGCCACTGTGACGCTGCTGCTGCTGCTGCTGCTGCTGCTGCAGGCTCGCTGCTCAGCACGCCAGTGCTGGTGCAGATAGGCGCGACGACCCCCTGCATATCTTCTGCTGTTATGGGCGACGCGGCGCCACTCAAGAGAGACTTCGTGGGGTTTCAAATGCCGGAGCCTGCGGGCAGGGAAGCAGCAGCGCTGCGGCTGCAGCAGCAGACAGCGGAGAAGCACCACAGGAAGCAGCAGCACCGACACACGCTGATGGAAGAAGCAGCAGCAGCAGTCGCCGGCAGCAGCAGCAGATGCGGCAGTACCGTTTTTGGGGGGCGCAGCCTCAGCGGCAGGCGAAGCGAGACCATCTCTCTTGCTGCTGTGGCCATGCGGAGGCTCGTGAGGGCTCGCAGCAGCTCGGCGGCCAAAGGCAACAGCAGCAGCAGCAGCAGCAGCAACGCGCAGATTGCTGCTTTGATGCAGTCGCCGCTTCTGCAAGCGCTCTCAGGCAGAGTTGTTCCCGAGGGAGGACTTGACCTGCAGCTGCGGGCTGCATACGCCCGGAAACGTAGGGGTGAGTTCGCGCAGCAGCAACAGCAGCAGCAACAGCAGCAGCGGGAGGGGCAGCTGCTGTGGGGAGATGTCAGGGAGCTTAAAGGGTGCGCCTGTTGTTGATGCTTGTGGTGCTCAGGAATCAGCAGCAAACAGGGCAGCAGCAGCAGAAGTATCGCCTCCATCAACACCCCCGCGACCTCCCAAAAGGTCAGCAGCAGCAAAACCAACGCGTAGGCGGCCCAGCGTGCCTGGCGCACTCTGCTGCTGCTGCTGCGGCTACTGCTGCTGCTGCAGTGCCAGCAGCAAAAGCACGACTTCGCTTTTTCTGTAGCCACGCGGAAATGCCGGAAGGTAGAAGATATGCAACGGCGTTGCTCTTGCACGGGTTCTGCCGCTAAAGCCCAACTGCTGCTGCAGCGGAGTTGCTGCTGCAGTGGAGTTGCTGCTGCAATCAAGTTGCTGCACTGACTACGCAGTAGTGTGCACCAGCAGCGGCAGATGCCGCCTTTTGCCACATTTTTGTGGACATCGAATTGCCCTGTGTTTTTTTTATTTATTTGGGACCTTCTGAAATACCCTTTGTCTATGGCACTGGCAGCAGCAGCAGCAGCTGAAGCAGCATTAGCAGTTTCAGCCATCCAGCTCAGCCTGCTTGTTTTTGAACTCTACGGACGCGAGTAGGCATAGGCAGAGAGCAGTGACACAGAGACAAACAGCAGCAGCAGAAAGTAACAAAAGGCCTTAGGCTTTGGGGTTTTGTTCACAAGAGTTGGTCTAGGGGTATGCTGAGGCTCTTAGCAGCACTGACGATGAGCTCTATATCAGCCAGCAGCGTGAGCTTGGTGGAGGGGTGCAGCAGGTGGGCTCCCCCGCCTGCAACCCCGCCTCCTGCTGCTGCAGCACGAGCAGCAGCAGCAGCAGCAGCTGCGGGCACCCTGCGGGCCTCCCGCGTCTTCTGCACTAGCCAGCCTGCGTCGTGCAGCCAGGCGAGTCCACTTGCTGCTGCTGCTCCAGCGCGTTGCTGCTGCAGTAGCGAAGGCGCACAGACCGCCACCAAGCTGAGCCGCAGCAAGCTGCTCACGTGCTGCAGCACGGAAGGGCACTGCAGCACAAGGGGCTGCCGCTGCAGCAGCTCTGCCAAGGCCAGCCAGCGCACCAGCGTAAAAGTTTTGGGCAGCGCCTTAGGCAGGCACGAGCCCCCTTGCAGCACCACAAATGCCCCTTCTGGGGCCTTGCGGGGTTTGCTGCTGCGGCTGTGCTGCAGCAAGTGGCTGCTGCTGCCGAGTGCGTCCCGCAGCTTCCGGCGGTCGTCGCGGCGCGGCGTGTAGGCAGCAACGAAGGCAGCCACCAGCAGCAGCCGCTGCAGCCGCGGGAGCTGCAGCAGCCGCGCAACACTGTCTGCTGCTGCTAGCTGTCCCCCCCAGATACTTGCTGCTGCTGCGCTGCTGACCCTGCAGTCGACGAGGTCCGGCAGCAGGCGGGAGAAGGGCTCTGCAGCAGCAGCAGCGCAGCTGCTGCGCAGCTGCTCGTGCAGCAAGTCCAGCGCCCCCAGCTGCCGCGTCCGCAGCAGCAGCTGCAGCGCCTGGCCCCACAGCTCCCGACACACAAAACGCAGCTGCCAGAAATCTCCCCCAGTGTGCTGATAGACGCAGCGGCAAATATCTCCGCAGAATTTATTCCACAAAGGAGCCACTGGGGTGCGCGCTCCCTTGGCCGTCAGCAGCCACACCCCAACCTCTTCCTCTTCTGCCGCGGCTGCTTCCGCTGCTGCTGCTGCTGCTTCTGCTGCTGCTGCTGGTGCTGCTGCTGCTGCGTGGGCGTCGCTGGAAGGCAGCCGCACCTGCAGGGAGAAGGGGAAGTCGGGGGGCGCAGCCTGCTGCAGCGCCACCTGCAGCAGCGGCAGCCCCAGCGAGAAGAAGCTGCGCTGCAGCACAAAAGCTGCTGCGTCTCGGCCATAAGCTTCGAAGCGCACTAAGGGGGGAGGCGGCAGCCCGTCAAGGGCCTCTGCTGCCAGGGGCCGCCGCCCGATGAGGATTATGCACACCCCGCGGCTGCTGCTGCTGCTGCTGCTGCTGCTGCTGCTGGCGGGGGCCGTTGCTGCTGCTAAGTCGCAGCCGTACATCAGTTCGGGAAGACGCAGCAGCGCCTGCAGCAGCTCAGGCAGCAGCTGTCGCAGCGACTCCGTTCCGTCCACAAGCAGCACGGCGCTTCTTGCTGCGCGGTCCGTCGCTTCCTGCTGCACTGCAGCAGCGCCTTCCCATCCTGCGGCTGCTGCGGCTGCTGCTGCTGCTGCTGCTGCTCCAAGGGCTGCACCTGAAGCAGTCAGCAGCTGACCCAGCATCTCTATGAAGGCGTCAGGTGCGGTCACTCTCGCCTTGGAAGCTTTGCTGCACTCCTGCAGCAGCTGCTTGTGCTGCTGCTGCAGCAGCGTTAGCTGCCCCTGCAGCTTCTGAGCGCATTCATCTTTCAGGCCCTCCGCTGCTTCCTGGCTCTGCTGCTGCTGCTGCTTAAATAAAGGCTCGCAGGAGGCCTCCGCCTCGTGTTTGAGAGAAGCAGCAAGACTGCGCAGCAGGCGTAGGTACAGCAAATTGCGGCCAGCTGACCCGTCGACAGCAGCAGCAGCAGCAGCATCGACATAGCCGTGAGCCACGCTGCACTCTGCCAGCAGCAGCTGCAGCAAGAAGCTCTTGCCGCTGCCAGCAGCACCCACCACCTGCAGCAGCGGCAGGGGGGCCCTCAAGTCCCCCAAAAACCCAAAAAGGGCCCCCAGCTGCGGCAGCCGCAGGGGGCCCCCCGCCTCAGCTACCCTATTGAAGCCTTTTCTAAAAGGCAGTGGAACGGCATCAAGGCTGGGCTCTTTCCTGCTGCTGCTGCTGCTGCTGCCGCTGCTGCTCCGGGGTCTGGGCCTGCTGGATGAGATGGGCGTCGAAGCCTGCTGCAGCAAATCCCCCGTGCGCGGCTGCTGCTGGACGCGGCGGGGAGGGGCAGGCGAGCCTATGGGGGAGGCAGCCTCTGCTGCATCTGCAGCTGCAGCAGCAGCAGCTGCTGCTGAGTCTGTTGCTGCTGCTGCGGATGCTGGAGGTAGAGAGGCATTGGAGGCTGTGGCTTCCTGTCCCTTCTTACCAGTTCTGAGGGGAGTAACAGCAGCTCGCATCAATGGACTTGAGGACTGCTGCTGTTGTTGCTGCTGCTGTTGCTGCTGCTGCAGAGTCTCCCTGTGCAGGCGCTTGGCCGGTGACAAATCTGCTGTTCTGAGTGCGGCCAACGCCGCCCGCTTTACAGTCGACGCTGAAGCTGCCGCATCTGCTGCTGCTCCTGTCACTTTTTCTTTTCTGTTTGCTGCTGCAGTTGCAGCTGCTGCCGCTTCTGCTACTGCTGCTGCTGCTGCAGGCGGTGAGGGGCTGCGGCGGGATGCAGCTGAGGCAGCTGGAGCGGGAAGGCCCGTGTCTGCTGCCTCAGCTGCTTTCATATTTCCTGCTGAGGCGCCGCAGGGAAATTCAAGGAATATTTTACTGCCGGAGGAGCTGCTTTTTGCTGCTGCAGCAGCAGCTATGGCTTGCTGCGTTGCTGCAGTCGCTGCTGCTGCCCTTGACCCTCCTGCTGCAGCAGCTTCTACATCCACTTTTGCAACTGCGGCTATAGGTTCTGCTGCAGCTGTTGCGTCAGCCTCTGCTGTTGCTGCTGTGGCGTCTGCTGCAGCTCGCTCCCCGTGCCGCTGCCGATGCTGCTGCAGAGCTGCCACTTCTGCTGCTGCTGCTACTACCACGCGTGAGCCACGGGAACACCGCTTGAGGCTCGCTGGCAGAGGTGTTGCAGCCACTGCATTATTTTGTTTTTAGCTGCAAAGCAGATGTGCGCAGAGCGCACGGCAGATTTCTGTCTTGCCGTTGAGTTCGTCAAATTGGAAGGCGAAAAAAGTGAAGCAAAAGAGATGCCGGAGCAGGTGATACACGCTCTGGTGTACATACACCTGCGGCTTCTTTGTTTTTCATAATGCTTCTGCTGCTTCTCCAGCTCCATATTTGCTGCAGCTGCCAGTGGGGAGGAGGTGTTGTTTCTGGGGGCTGCTGTCGGGGGGTGCTGGAATGGTCGGGCCCCCCAGCCTGTTATGCGCAGAATGCGGGGTGTATACTCTAAATTATTCAATGAAATCAAGTTTTTTTAGTATTTATTTATAAGTTAGATATATCGTTTCTTTCCTCCATGGGCCTTGAATGGCCGTTATGGGGGCAGCGTGCGGCCCCCCTCGGTCGGCGCCCAGCTGCCAAATCGTCTACCCCCAGAGCTGTAGCAAGCTGCGAAATAAAGCAGAGAAGTAACGCAAAAACAGCTAAATAAAGGGTATTTCTTTTGTTTTTGTTGACTGTACTGGGACAAAACGAGCCGAGCCCGCCTTTAGCGTAGACACGCAGTCAGCGGGAGAACAATGTGTGGATTGAAAGTCTTTTACGTGAAACCACAGTAGCAGCTGCTACTGCAGCAGCTACTGCTGCTTATTCTGTAGCAGCTGCTGCTGCATACTTAGCAGCAGCAGGTACTAGCATGCTTCAATAGTCCCACAGTGTGGCACCGGCTGTGCATTACCTGACTGTTGTTTAGGTGCTCCCAGCAGCAGAAACGGCAAGGGAAAGCCTTTAGCATTTGATAATCCCAGAAGTGGCAGTCTGGCATTCTCGGCAGTAGCAGCACTAGCAGCAGCAGCCTGAATAGTCGCTGCTGCACGATCGCAGCAGCAGAACCAACGGCAACAGAACTAATGGCAGGAGGCAGGGCCGGGGGCTGAGGGTTTGCTGCAGCGGCTAAACAAAAGTGGAATCCTTTTGCTGCAGCGTCCCGAGCAGCAGCGCAGCAGCGCTCTGGCCCTGCCGTCACTTCTGGAAGCTGAGACCCCCAGCTCCTGCAAGCAGGCCTATGGAATAGGGCTTTGTGGGGCTGCAGCAAAGAGGCTCAGTGCAAATTTTAGCATCTTTAGCAGTGGCTTTTGGGCTGCAAAGAAAGCAGCAGCAAGCAAATGCCGCAGCGGGCAGAACAAAGAGCGAAGGGCGTCTAAAGTTCTCCTAAAACCACTAGATATGAACTAGCTGTTGGGGAAGAGCAGCAAAATACTAGCAGATGGACCCCAGCGGCAGAGGCGGGACCTGGGCAAGGAAGCTAGGGCGGGGAGGTCAGTGTGCTGGTCCGGGATGGCCCAGGAGTGCAGCGACAGCAGCAGCTGCTGCCGCTGGTACACGCCAGCAGCAGCTGCTGCTGCCGCTGCACGCCAGCAGCGGCTGCTGCCCCCGTGGCTGCGCGGCGGCGGGCCAGAAGGTCTTATCCCCTGGTCCATTGCAAGTTTGGACTTCAGCGTGAGTGAACCGCTGCTGCAGCTTTCGGACCTGTACGCTGAAGCCTTCGCTGAGGGCTCTTAGTCTCGCCTGCAGTGCAGGCCTTCTAAAAGCTTCCGCCTCAGGTGCTGGCCGCTAATACACCCAACCACCCAGTGCGGCTAAGTCTGGCCTCTTTTATGAGGCGTTTTGGAGGTTTCCGTTCCTTATGTGCCTTACACAGAGCTGCCGAGCCTTCAAGAGATGCTAGGACCCGCTACAATTTTGCCCATGGATGTAGTTCTCTACATGTCTGTGAAGTAAAGATATTCTTATTTATATGGCGCGACTTTCACTCACATGAGTGTAAACTTGAATTTCGGATAACGTGCTCGCAGGTGCGGCGAGGCTGTGCTGTTGTTGCCCTGGTATTATGCTGGCTTTAAATGATGAAAGTATTGGTGAGCTAAAGCTAGAAGGAACCGCTGTGTCTGCAGATTCGTAGCTAACGTGACTTCTTTGTTTTTAGAGCTATGCTGCTGCTGCTGATGCAGCTGCTACTACGGACAAAGTGCTGCACCTTTGGCAATACCTTTGGCAATAGACCTATTTCATTCGTGCCTCTAGGCAATAAAATGCTTTTGTTGGTAAAGGACGGAGGTGAAGTAGGGGGAGATGATCTCTGAATAGCAATAAAAGCATAAGATTCCACTCGGTCTGCCAGCTGCTACTTCTCCTTTGCTGTAGACTTCCCAAAAACAACAGTGCGGGGCCCCCACTGCCGACAGTTCAAGCAGACCAAGCCCCGGAACTTTCAGTAGATTTGGTCCTTTTCTTTAGCCTGATGATAAATAATATTAAAGCAAAATAGTTTTGTAATTCAGTGTTTACTTTGGTTTAAATGAAGCAGCAGGAGAGGCGCCGCCGCTGCTGCAGTTTCAGGCAGCACGGCGTGTTCGGCTGTGTACCTGCCAACCGCGCAGCTTGGTCAGTTGCAGCGGCAGTATGAGCGGCAGCAGCAGCAGCAACAGGAGGGAGAGTCGGAAATGATTTGCTCTTTTAATTGCTTTGCATTTTTTATTTTGTATTTCGCGTCTGTGTCGCTTGTCAACTCTCAGCTGACCTGACTATCTGCTTGACAACACGTGACCTTTTCACATTTCGCGTGTCTTCGCAGCTGCAGCAGCACCAGCAACAGCAGGGGCAGCAGCATCAGCTACTTAGACACACATGAATCGCATCGCACTAACACAAACTGCTTTTATATCCCGGTCTAACCTGTGGCAGCCAGGACCGCAGCAGCAGCGCAGCCGTGCAGCCCGTTGACAGCAAAGGAAACAAAGGGTGAAGTTAACACCAGCTCGTCATATGCTTGTGCATTATGCTTGTCTGCTCTTAAATAGAGCACATCCTTCGCCGCTGCCGCCGCCGCCGCAACAGCAGCAGCAGCAGGCTAGGGACACGCAGCAGCAATCCCAGTACTGAGCCTTTGCTCCACCGTGTGGCCTCATGCACCTCACCGTATAGCAGGCAGCGCATTGCGGAGGCTGGCAGCAGCAGCACCGAGAGCAGCACCGACAACAGCACGCTGCTGCTGCTGCTGCTGCTGCTGGAGTAGCAACACTAAATGGTTTGATTTCAAGGGCTCGCGAGAAGACCAGCATGGACAATGTGAGTTCAATCCACTTCTTAATGTACTAACTCTTGCACAACTGAAGCAGTACAAAGTGGGGGCCCCAAAGGAGGCCCTGCGGGGGCCTCAAGCGGACCCCTGGGGGCCCTCGGGGCCCCTTGGGGGCCCTTGGGGCCCCCTGGGGCCCCTCAGCTCATCTTTTGGGCCGATAGGTCACAGTGTTCCGTAGCTGCTTCTGCACAGCTGCAGCAGGAGCAACAGAACGGGCAGAAGTATCTATTTGGTGCGGCCACATATATACACTTGCGTATGAGAACGCTCTGCCGCTGTGCCGCTGCTGCTGTTGCTGCTGCTGCTTCTGCAGGAAACCACTAACATCGGGGCTCTTATGGGGAGCCTCCGGATGCTGCTGGATAGGCGAACAGCATCGCGGCCCCCAGTAGCGGTCGAGCGGGCAGATGAGGCGCGGCGTTACCTCGATTTGCTGCAGCAGCAGCAGCGGCAGCAGCAGCAACAGCAGCAGGAACGGCAGCGGCGGCAGCAGCAGCAACAGGAGGAGCAACAGCGGCAGCGACAGCAGCAGCAGCAACAGCAGCAGCAGCAACAGCAGCAGCAGCAACAGCAGCAGCAGCAACAGCAGCAGCAGCAGGAGCAGCACCCGCAGAGGCGGCAGCGAGGGGAACAACAGGGAGGGGAGCAGCAGCGAGAGGAACAGCAGCAGCAACGAAATGAACTGGAAGAAGAGCGAAGGCGGGAGCAGCGGCAGAGGCAACAGCAGCGTCTGCAGTGGCAGATGCAGTTGCAGCAGCAGCGGCGTGCGAACGCGCAGCAGCAGCAGCAACACCGACTGCAGGAGCAACAGCAGTTGGAAGAGCAGCGGGACCAGCAGTTGCTACAGCAACAAGAACGCCTGCAACAGCAGCGGTTGCAGCTTGAAGAGCGACGGCGGCGGCTGCTGGAATTGAGGCGGCTGCACAGGCAGCAGCAGGAGCTGGCGGAGCAGCGGCGCCAGAGGCAGCAAAATCCAGGGCAGCAGCTGCAATTGCAGCAGCAACTGAACGAGCAGCAGCAGCTCAACTACAGCGAATCTGTGCAAGAGCGGGATGCTGTACCTCAGGTCGCGCAGCGGCAGCACCAGCTTCAGCGGATGCAGCAGCAACTGCAGCACCAACAGTTGCTGCAGCAGCAGCTGCACCAGCAGCTTCAAGAGCAACAAGAACTGCAGCAGAGGGTGCAGCACTTCAGAAGCTCACGAGAGCGTTCCATCGCCGAGCTGGAGCTCCAGCTGAGGCAAAGGCTGGAGGAAAAAAGAAGCCGGCGACGGGAGCTGCAGCGGCAGCAGCAGGAAGAGCAGCAGCTGCAGCGGCAGCAGCAGCTGCTACAGCAGCACCTACTTCTGCAGCTCCAGCAGCTCCAGCAGCAGAAGCACTTGTTGCAAGAGCAGAAGGAGCAGGAAATGAGAATGCAGCAGCAGCAGCAAACATTCCTGGCTCAGCAGCTGCAGCAGCACGGCGTGACCGCAGAGGTGGCGATTTTGAGAGCGCTGCTGCAGCGCCAGCTGGAGCAAAGATTTCAGGACCAAAGAAAGCAGCAGCAGCTGCAGGCTGTGCAGAAGGAGGCGCAGTGGCAGGAGGAGCAGCAGCAGCACAACGAGGAGCAGCAGCAGCAGCCGAAGGAGCCTACTCTACAGGACAAAATAGACCATCTGGTGCAGCAGCGCGTGCTGCAGCAAATGGTGCTGCCTAAAGAGACCCTTAACTGCAGCAGCATCACTTCTCGCTTTCGCCTTCGAAATCACATTTCTATGACAGAAGATCTGCAGCGAGTGGGCGCGTACCAGCAGGCCTTGAAGATGTACTTCGGGGGGGCCTTTTGGGGGCCACTGGGGAGCCTGTGGGACCCCTCAAGGAGCCTCTGCGGAGGTCCCAGGGGCCCCCTTGTCATTGAGATTGGGACGGGGCCCTTTGCACTACTCTCTATAAATGCTGCACGGGAGGGAGCCCGTCGAGTTCTGGCTTTTGAGGCGGAGAGGAAAAGCTGCAGCAGCGCCTGCAGC